AATGCTTTATTGTGTTTATCAAATGCTATTTCTTCTGTGCTCCTCATGATGCCAAGACTGAATCCTTTGAATTATTACAACAAATTATTACAACATAATATAAAAACTTTATACAAAAGAATAGAACAAAAGAAGATCCTAAAAGCTCTTACCCTGTGAGATGTATCCATCTCCACATTGTTCTGGAAGTTGGTGGCGTACCATGTCATCTTAACTGAGGCGGGATGATCAGATCTCTTGATTTCCCACCGGAGGAAATCTCTTTTATATTGTTCTACTGGGTCCACATCATCAATCCTTTGGGCGTCATTCAGACCAGCTACAAACAGGCAAAACCCAAAACTAATTTTTTTCTGTTTCGTGCCCATTTACTGTCAAGCTCGTGACTGTTAATTAGACTCCTGTGAGAGATCATCTCCACGGAGATTTGCCAAACTACAGGTATGTCTTTGTGGCTGCTAACGGTAGGTTTATTAACACATACCATCACTATGAATATGGGCAGACTATAACAAATATGTCCCAGAAAGTTAAAAATATAATTACAATACATAAAAGCTAACAAAATGTTTAAAGGGCATGCTAATGAGCATGGCTCTATTTATATAACTTTTCACACTAAAGGTCTGTAGTGACTCATCAACAAAAGACTGGACCTTTTCTTGTTACTGAGAGCATCCTCTTAAATTTGCACATCTATAAACATTTAAAAGTTCAGGTGAGGTTAGCTAAGGATCTTTATAAGTGAGACCTAAAAGGCTTCATATAGCTAATGAATAAAGAAAGAGAATTTTATGTCAACTTTTGTGCAACAACCCGAAAGCCATCACAAATCCTTGCATCCATTTTAACATCCATTTAGCTAATGTTTATTGCCATCTTATGGAGAGCAGGAAGCATTGCTTTAAAAACATCAAACCTTAAATCGAAGAATAAAGGGCCAAAATCGATCAGAATTAATTCTAGATCAGCAGTATTCACTTGAATAACAGAGCAAAAGAAAAGATCAATAAGGAAGCTTGTTGATCAATTTAGTCTGAATACAAAGATTTATTGTTTGTTTTACTGGATCACCACTAGGTTACTATGTAAACCCTTATTCACTATCAGAATGTTGTTCACCTTTAAGTGCAAAAATAAAAACTCATTCATCGGTTACCATTGCATGTTTCCAAGCGATACAAGGCGTTGTCTATATAAGACTCAAACTCACTGCGGATCCAGACATTTGAATTGAGAAAGCTTCCTGGAGAGGTGGCGAAACGTCTTCAAATCTTGAAAACCAAGTCCAGTGGATATTTTTTGAATTTTTACGGAATGACTATGACCTGGATGACTGAGAACCTTCATCAGCAAAAATAAAAACTCAAGCAAAATCTTACATTTATATTTCTTGTGTTTTTTTTTACAGACTCCTTAAAGAAATATAAAGCTACTGAAAAGATGATTTCTTTCTGTAACTTAGTTTGCCAAGTTAAACTCGTCATACTTTTCAATTGAACAGAATTTTGCAGAATGTTTTCAAGCCCTTATTTCTGTTATTTATGATGATTTTCAACTTGCACACAATTAAAACATAACATTTAGGATTGGACAACAATGGAAGACAGATAAGAAAAACATTAAACCCACATTAATGAAAACATGTTTCATACATGTGTAGTTTTATTCTTTAAATGTACTTTAAATCTGACAAATGAGCCTCAACTCAAAGCATTTTCCACTTTACTGAATACCATGGAATGTTTTTATTTAACTGACGCTCACTTTATAAATCATCTAAATGTTTTACTGAGTTGAAATGTTAGATGTCTGCATAAAATATTTTTGCAATACTTTTAAACCTACTCTCATTTCCCTAACTAAGCTATTCAACAATGGTATCCTGTATATTAAAGTAAAGTCCTAATAGATTATTTAGAAAAATCAGAAAGGTTAAAAAAATTTTCATTTTTTTTTCTGCTTTTGTTTGCATTTCACATAAATAAAAAAAAAAAGATAAATCAAAATGATTTTAAACCATTCTCAAAGATTTGCAAAGAAAAACGCTGCTGATCAGCATTTTGCATGTTTGACAAACATGTTTTGGTGATAGGATACACTATTTGAAAGGGTCATCAAAAATGGTCAGAAATGATAGAAAAAAAAATGCAATGAGTAATAAGACGAAAGTGGAGGATCATTTCAGTGCATGAACTTGGAAACATGTGACACCCATGTCTGCTTGTGGAGCTCATGAAAGTGTCCTTTTGTATCTATGCTTCTTTTTCTATGTCTGCTTCTGTCTACTTGAACCCCAGTTGCCTCAGCAGATGGCCGCTAAAACTGGGCCTGGTTCTGCTGGAGGTTTCTTCCTGTTAAAAGGGAGTATTTCCTCTCCACTGTCGCTACAAGCATGTTTAGTGTGAGGGATTGCCTTCAAGTCAATGATTAGATGCAATCAGCTGGTTTTCCTTGGATAAAAAACTTTAAATCAATTTTACTGTATGATCCTGTTAAATTGTATCAGCCTTGAGATGACATGAATTGGCGCTATATAAATAAATAGAGTTTAATTGAATATTTTTCTATTCCATATATATATATATATATATATATATATATATATATATATATATATAGCCTATATATAGAATAGAAGTGGTTCCACAATGGGAACTCTCCTTCAACTCTGGCACGCTAGAATTGCTGGTTCTACAGTGTGAACCAATGCATGATCTACAGCCCAGTCCTGAAGAGCTACTATTCTGTAACGTGTAGATGTGCATCTCTTCTCTAACACACCTGAATCTAAAGGCTCAATCTCCTCAGAGGCATGTTAATGAGCCACTCATTTAATATAGGTGTGTTAAACATGGAGTAGCTCTTGAGAACTGGACTTGAGCACCCCTGATCTACAGTATGTGTGGGTCAAAGCTGTAGACAATGGTTGCACAAACAAAAACCACACTTTGGAGGAAAGTTGCCATTTTGCAGCTGGTTTTTAGGCTAAATCTGGTTGGTCCGTCAAAGTCTTGATTAAGTCCAGAAATTGTTGTTGAAAATTGGGCTGTTTGGTCGGTCTGATTTTGTCCCAAATTAGTATAATTATTGAAAAGTGGGTTTCAATGTCTTGTTGTTTTCAACATTGTTTGGATGTAAATCATATCATCTTTTCAATGTCTTTTCAACCAATTTTTGCTCGGTGGGGGGTTTTTGTGTTTGGATAATTTACCGGCACTCCACATGGTGACAGTGCATGACGTTTTCAACAGGCTGAAAAGCATGAAAATCATGAAAATCCTCACCTCAGCATCACTGAGCTACTTTGGATATCTCAAATATGTGAACAATATGAAGTTTGCCCCACAGGGAGTTACAGGATAGAGAAGCAGACATACATGCTGGTCCATAAAGCATAATTTTGGACATTTTGGACTGATCTATCATGCTGATAAGAACCATGATCACTGGTGTAGGTGGATGCAGTTTTGCTGTGGTGTTGGACTTACCTCTGCAATTGCTGCAAATTCCTGTTTGTCCAAGATACTCCCACAGGAACATGTGACCCCCCGCAGTGCTTAAGAAAAAGCAATAAAATCAAATAAACACTGTCTTTTCTCCCAAGAAACTCTCCTGAGGATTCCATTTGTAAAGGAATACCACTAGCCAAGGACCAGAATCCAAAGACTGATTAAAAGCCTGGACCTGGTTTCTAACTTCTGAACAAAATGCATAAACGGAATGCCAGACTGGAAGTGTGGAGAATCTGGAAAAAAGATCAGCGTCCCTGCAGTGGACCTGACATGCTAATCTGCTGAATACAGGAGACAACTCAGCCTTTTCCAGAGATCATCAGAAATTACAGGTCTGGCAAAGTCAGGGGAAGAGTTCCCACCTTAATTATTTGTGTTTTTGAGGATTTTTTATCATTCCACATGTTTATTGTTGGCTAAAACCAGTTTTATTTCACCAAGGGTTGAAACACCAATATAACATTAACATATATGTGTTTCCTCATATCCTCATCCTTACTGATTATCATATGAGACTTTTAAGATGTCATGTATATTCACTATTAATTCAATCACAGAAGGTGACTGAATCTTTTAACTAAAGTTTGTAGATTTTTCATTTATTAAATCTTTAATAAAATATAATTTCTCCAAACCTGCTTTATTTACCTCTTGCATTTTTGTCAAAAACTAATGTGCATCTGTCTAATCTTAAAACTTAAAAGACTATCTTAAAAGGAGACAGGGTGTCTGCTTCACGGACTACAGTAGGTACAGTAAGGCTCCATAGGAGAGGAGACTGATAACTAAAAGATCTGCCTCCCATTCTACTTTTAGAAATTCTAGGAAACACTAGTAAACTTGCAGATCGAGAACAAGTGCTCTGTTAGGAACATAAGGAACAATCATATCTCTGATATAAGATGGAAATTGGTCATATTGGTCATGAGGAGGATTTTAAATTCTATCCTGCATTTAACAGACAGTCAGTGAAGGAAAACTACAAAAGGAGAAATATGATCTATTTTTAAATTTCATATCACCACTGGCTGCAGTGTTTTGGATCAGCTGAAGACTTTTAACTAGAGCTTGTGGACTTCCTGATAGTAAAGAATTACAATAGCCCAGCCTTGAAGTAACAAATGCATAAAGTAGTTTCTCAGCATCACATCTGAGCAAGATCATTTGAATTTTTGCAATATTTCGGAGATGAAAGAATGAAACTCTAAAAACCCGATTCATATGGGATTTAGATGAAAAGTCCGTTTTTTTTAACAATATAATGTTAGACCAATTTAATACCATGTTCTTGATGAAAGTAATTAAAAAGTTAAATGTCATATCCTAAACTGGGTATGGAACCACAGACCTTCATACTTCAAAAGCATTACCAACCGCACCACCGTGCAGCAAACTGAATGATAAAAAAATAGCTATCCAAATTGGGGAAGGATTAATTGCAGTGTGAAGTTTTGGAGTCCTTTAACTTGTGAAAGGACAAGTCAATTGCAGGCCGTTTACCAACAAGTACAAATCAAAACTCTTTCTTTTTTTCACTTTAAGATGAAACAATATTTGCCGTTCAACAATGGACCCTTGATTCCATGCACTTTAGCCCTCTACCAAATCTCTTTTCTTTTGTGTCCTTATAAATGCCACTGGCTGAACTTATCTAACTTTTGGTTCCTATAATTTTCAGACGTGTGACAGTGTGACAGAATACTTCTTCAGTCCCTTTTTTACTCTAGACATGTCAAACTTGTGTAGACTGTGGTCAAACACCATTGCAAAAATTTAATTGCTTAAATGTTAAAAATAGAATTGCGAAATATGAAAAAAAAAAAAGTTGTGCTTCTTTGTATATTTACCTTTTTAGAGTGTTATTTGTGTCTAATTACACAAAAATAAACATAAAGAGACAGAATAACCAATGAAGCCAGCTTTAATGGGCAACTCAATGGAGCTCTTACAATTTGCACACTCACTTTTTCAGTGAAACATCCGTCATGACATCATTTGAACCTTGCAGAGCTAACCGGTAACCCATCATTACAGTCCCAAATGCACTGGTTTTCTTGATCTGATCCACAGAACAACAGGTGTCAAAGCACTGTACATGTGGAGGTAATGTTAAAAAAAGACTCTGAATATCAATAAAACTTACAACGATAAGAATATCAATCATAAATGTCTCAGATTTTTAGCAATATATGTTCCTTTCATACATTTTACATAGAGTTTACATCTATAGTCACTTTTTTATTCCACATACAGCAGTACCATGGTTGTTTTGACTTTTCACTTCAAAAAGGGAGGGTCAGATATTCCAGTTGTAACTGAGCGTTGAGCTCCACCCCTGAAGGATGTGTTAGCTCCACCCTGGGGACCAAAACATCAACTTATATTACATCATACGCAGAGGCCCTGGGCGGGAGACAAGAAAATCCTATGGGAAGTGACCAGGAATGAGTGAACAACCCAATAGATCGGCACGGTTTGATGGAGGTTGACAGTAGCTTAAAAAAATGCACAGATGAATGCATGAATGAACACTGAAAAAAAAAACATATTTTTTAACCAACTCATTTTCTCCTTGGTTTGTGCTAAAAACGTCATTTGTGACTCCTACAGTGTCCAGACTAGCAGAGCGGCTTTAATCTGTGCATTTAAAATTAAAACTCCCCCCTCATTATAGACAGAAATGAAGGTTTGTGCTAAGCATTACATCTAAAATGGCAGTGTGATTATGACTAAATAAAGCTCGAACACATGGCAAAGTGTCTCTGAAATTAAACGAAAGGCATATTTTTGGCATAAAACATTGATATAAGTAAAGCCTGCACCCACAGAGCTAGTGGAATTGTGAATAAGCGTGTAACTAGCAATGCCCAGAGAGAGACAGGGACAGCTTTGTTTTTGATCCGCCTAAGGTAGACATTCCTAACCCGAAACACAAGCCTGAAATCTTCACCTTTTTTTTTAGTCCTTGTGAGATAAAAGGCGGAAAAGATTGTAAATTTCTTGCTGAAATGGATTCTGCTCAAAACTGACAGAAAAACAGACATCCTGATTGGAAATGTATGTCTCCTATTTTCTCAGACTTGTGTTTCGCTTCGAATACGGCGACTCCTTTTTACTGTCATCACCTCTTTATATCTCTCTGTAACAACCTCTACCTCTCCTTCCTTGTTAGGCTGCTGTTTACCTTCAGCATCCTTCTGCTTCTCTATTTCTCTGTCTCTCTTTGGGTGGGATTCGCTGTGGGCACAGGCTGCTAGTCAGCAGGATCCTGCAGGACCATCGCTAACCATCTCTTTTTCTCTCTCTGGGATGGTATTGAGAGGTCCTGCCGCCCTCTGCTGCTGGCTTTGTGACTGGAACTGATTTGTGGGCAAGGGTGGAGGATGTGAGTAGGCTGGCGGTTTTAAAACAGTTTGGACGGTAGGGACAGAAAGCGGCTGGGAAAGCAGCTGGGGATATTGCTGTTGATGGCTGTGGAGATAAGACTGCGGTGAGGTCTGGGGTTGTAGAGGAGGGTTGGGTGGGTGGAGCAGCAGAGATTGTGGGTGGGGCTTGGCCTGAAGCTGTTGCTGTACTTGTGGTGGCTGTTGGTGAGGATGGTGGGGAAGCTGTGGGGAAGCCGCTCCGTTTTTACTGAGGCCGCAGGACTGAGCTGCACAGTGGATCTGCCGCAAAGTGTCCAGTGCCTCACTTTTTGCGTGTTTCAGAAGATCTGCCTGGCCCTATAATTAAAAAGAAAAAGACAGAAGTGTGTAAATATTTTGTTTAGATCTAGTTATATTGCAATAAAAAGGGAGAAAACTCAGGAGGTACAGAATCTCCACAATTCACTTAATACATAGATGTCTTTAAAAAATCACATATCAAGTAAAATTAAACGAATAACTGATCTAATATACATAAATTAAATATGTATTGCATGCAGTAGTCTAGTTGTAAAAACAAAAGAAGGGGGATGGTTAAATTTTTTATTTGGAAGCATACATAGCCTAATTAATATAGACAATTAACCTAGAGCAGTATGCATGGTATGGTTGCTCCATGTCAGGTACGCCGGTCATTGACCTTGACCAAGCCACCTTACAGTAGAACTGCAGCCAGTCCCTAGACTGGCATGGCTATCACTGCCCCTACATAGTTAGGGACAAATGCAGAGGACAAATTTCCCCCTGGGATCAGCTTCATAGTCCTTGTAGGACACTTCTTTGATTTTATTTATTTTGCTCAGGCTACTCGTTAGCCCACAGCCCACCAAATGATGAAGGGGCACTATATTGCTATTACTGTTAATATATAGTAGAAATTCCACCCATTCAGTAATAAAATGTCACAGGGGATGGTATGGTGGGATGGTCATTTAACCATTTAACATGATTTTTAATATTCTTTTTAAGAAGGGGGATGCCACCCCCCTCAACTTGAGTACTGATTGCATGACATAAACGTTAGTTACAGCGTCATAATAAAGTAAAGAAACAACAAAGCAGTGCGGTAAATTATATAGAACTGAAATTCTAATCATTGCTCAATGTATTAAAATTTATTGAATGAATTTATAACAAATTGTAATTTTATTATGAATTCAGACATGCATATATATACATACACATACATATATATATATATATATATATATATATATATATA